AGATTTGCCGGTGATTAATATTAACCAAATTACAAGGCAACAATAGGAGTCGACTTTAAAATAAAAACAATAAAAGTAGGTGAGACTAGCATAAAATTATAAATATGGGACACTGCCGGACAAGAAAAATTCAAGACAATAACTCAAACATATTATAATGGAGCATCGGCAGTTGTAATAGTATATAGTATAACAGATAGGATAAGTTTTACAAATGTAAGAAGTTGGCTTTAATAAATTAGCGAACATATAAGTGAGAGTAATGTAGTAAAAGTTTTAGTTGGGAATAAATGTGATGAAGGGGATATTTAAAGGAAAGTTGATAAGAGTGAAGGATAATAATTGGCAGATTAATATGGAATTCCTTTTCTTGAAACTTCTGCGAAAGATAATATTAATATTAATTAATTATTTTAAACAGTAGGAATGTAAATTAAAAATATTTTTCTTGCTGATGCAAATAATAGTAATGGTTAAAATAATAATAACGGGCTAGATGGGTAAAAGAAGTTTGATTAAAGTTAAGGTTTAGCTTTTAAATTATAGAATGAATAGAATAATTAATAGTAAGGAAGTCCGTTTGATAATCAATAGTAGAAAAGATGTTCATGTTGATTTTTTTTATTATATTATTATAATATTTTAAATATTTTAACTTTAATATAATTTTTATTATAAATAAATACTTATGTTTTTTTTAAAAAAATTCAAACATTTTATTTTTAATCTTTTTATTTGTTTAACAATTCAAAATCTTCGTAATTTGTGTTTTAAAGTAATTCATCTAATTTTTGGGCTTACTTTAATTCTTACTTAGCTTTAGCTTATATTTTTTTAACTAAAATATCTTCTTTTATATTTGGATCGCTTAATTCAGCTTTTTATAATAAATATGATTTCATTAAAAACGTGTCTTCTATTTATTAATGTTATTCTGTTTCAAATTTACGCAAAGTCATTGTGTAAAAGGAATATTTAAACATAAAAAATCCCCTTTTTTAAATCAAATATAGTTATTTTATTTTTCTAATAAAAAATACCAAATTGGCATTGCTGTAAGAATCGTCCCCCAAACAAACCAATAAGCGGCATCAATAGGTTTTCCTTATTTATTTTTATTTTTGAAATTCATTAAAAAAAATACTTGTTTTAATAAATATATGAAGACCAAACATTGAACCTAATGCAATTCCCCATTTTATTGATGTTATTGTAAATGGAAAACGGAATATATATTTTGCTTTTAAATAATCAAATTTTTCGGGCGTATCTTAGGGTTCATAATTATCGAAAATATCACCCTTAGGATATTAAATCAATTGCTTAGATTTATTTTAATTATCACTCATATTAATATTAATATATATTATTTTATATATATTTAAAATTAATTATGTTAAATTTAATATTTTTTAGTATCTTTTATTAATTTTGATTTTGATTATGATTTTTCTTTTAGTTTCTATTCAGCTTTTCTTGATTTTAATTTAAATTGTAACAATATATAAATATATTAAAAAAAATTATTTTTTTTCTAAATTTAATCAAATAACATTTAATTATTGTATTTTTTTATTAAATAATTTATTATTATTATGATATTTATATTATGGTTTATAAAAACATTTTTATAATTATTTCTTATAATTATATTTAATTATTTATTATTATTAAAGTTTTATATTTACCTTATAATTTATTATTTTCTTTCTATTCTCTGATAATTTAAAAAAAAAATTAATATTATATAAAATTAATTAAATATAAATAATAATTATATATAAAATATATAAAAAAAAGTATTAAAAATAAAAATGTATCAAAAATATAACGAACCTTAAACTTAGAAAAAGTCTTGCCTCTAATATTATATATCATTTACATCTTACATAAATTTGCTTGTAAGTATTGCCGCTTTAATATTTGCCATATACAAAGGAGCATATAAAAAAGAGACATGGAACTCCAATATTACATGGTAGAAAAGTTTCTTAGCAGCAACTATTGTGGGTGGTGTTTTCTTATTAATAATATCTACAATAGGAATAATTGGAGGCAGGAAACGAAATCCATGTTGTATTTTCTTATTTTAGATATTTTCTATGGTATTAGCTTTGGTATTTTTGTTTGTAGGATTTTTCTTCATGTCAGTAACTAATAATAATATAATCAATATTAAAGATGATAAATGTATATCAACTAAAGAAGAGTTTAAAATTTTTACAGAATCTGAATAGGCCTATAATTTAGCCTAGAGTATGCTCTGTTCAGCAACTTGTAAATGCTATGTATTGGCTACTAATGTAGATTTGATTAATAAATTAAAAATTTTTAATAAATAATATAGTGTAGATCCTAAAGACAAAACATTGGCTATTAGAGTTTAAAATTGCTAGGAATATGATAAACTTCCTTCATCTAGTCCTTTAAAATTATAGAGCGAATGGCTTAAGTATTTGGAAGAAAGCTTTAATTGTATTGGTATGTGTAAATAACCTAAAGATTTCTAACCTAGTATTTATTATTTCTCAGATATTAATAGAGGAGCACCTAATAATGAAAGCTGTAGAGAAAAGTTCATCGATTTTATTTAATCTTATGGAAAAATAGTTTATGGAATAGGTATTGGAGTAGGATTTTATTTACTTTTTAATGCATTTTTAAGTTGCTTTTTATGTTGCAGATAAAGTCCTGAAAATTAGAATAAATCATATTATTAAAGAATGTCTTAATATTGACGAAAATAATTATATATATATTTAAAATAATTATTTATTTTAAAATTTTTTTATTTAATTAAAAAATAAATAAAAAATATTTTTATTTATTAAATTATTTAAATATTTATAGAAAATTATAATTAAAATAATTATTTATATTATATATATATATATATATATATATATATATAATTTTTTTGTTTAATTTATATAATCAATATTATTATTATTATTTTATTTCTTTTATTTTAATACTAATAATTATTTAATATCCTTTATTTTGATAAGCTTAAAATATTAGATATAAATTTATTTATTATAGATGCATTAGTATTTTCTTTATAATATATTCATACATTTTAATGAAATATCAAATTATAAAAAAATATCCTAATTTAAAAATCCTTGTCTTATTAATTAAATAAAAATTTTACTGTCTTAATTTTCTGCATTTACAAATTTTTATAAAATCTGATACTACAATATTTTAAAGCGTCATTTTCTCCTACAATAATAATTTTTAAGTATACAATCTGATATTAATTTTTTTTAATGAACAATCAATATTTTTATCACATCCCTCATCCGTATATTAGACTATATATTAATAAGAGGCAATCAGGTTATTATATGTTATATTTTCGTACTAATTGCACATTGAAGGCATATAATCTCTAAGAGGGTTTATTTTTCAATTTTAATATTATATTAGTCCTCAAAGTTAAAATAATTCAACATTAAGATTATAAATAATTTTATATGGCTTCAAGTTACTTATTTACGGGTAGAAGGCCACATTATGTTCAAGAAACGTGCATATCTTTAATATAAATAGCCCATTTTTCTCCTATATATTTGATGAGAAAATAAAGAAATAAAAATCAAACCTTAAATGCATTGTATATATGGATGATTATTTTGGTAGAATTATAGGATTATAGGGCTTTAGGAATTAAAAAAATAATTTTTAGTAAGTTAATTTATGTAAATTATAGCTCTTATATGGATATTTCCCATAATATGTTAATTTTTTATATATTAATTAATTAGTGGTATATTTTTGGTAAAAGATTACATTAATAAATTTTCTTTTTTTATAAAAAAAGCTAAAAATTATTTTTTATATAATTTATTATTAGATAAAATGAAACATTTTCTATCTAAACTTCTATAAATACCTTTAATAAATATACCTAATTGACCACATCCGATACTTGAGCAGTAGATTTTGAATTTAATAAAACTCGAATTTCATAGTTATTATTATACCTTTTTTTTAAAAAAAAAATTTAGAGTATGTTAAAGTAATTAATTATTTAAATTATTTAAAGTTAATTTTCAATGTTTAATATTTAATATTTAAAAGCTGAGAAAATTACCATATAAAAATTTTATTTGAGGGATTTTAGTTTTTTCTTGGCTTTTTGGAAAACACCAATACTTTTATATGAGGTTTTATTAAAGTTTTTCCATTTAGATTTGTATTTAAGAACAGAAAATATATATTTTTTATTGAAAAAAAAATATATTTTGTAGAAATAAAGGTGGATGTAGATACTTTTTATTCATTTGCTTAAATTTTTATTAAAAATTTGGAAGTTAATTCATTAATTATTTTTATTGTTTGTGGAGGTTGCGAACAGAAAATCTTCCATTTTATCTTCTTATATAAATAAGTTGGTTTCAAAGTATTTAGGTAATGTTATATTAGTCTAATTTTACTAAAAGAATGTTTAATAGTTATTAGAATATTTCAACAGCTTAAATTATGTAATTTATTTGGGCATATATGGGAATATTTGTTGCAAATATTAATTTTTATTTTCTATTGAGCTGTGTGTGTGTTTATGTGTGTGTAATAAGCTCTTTTCATATAATAGATGGTTTCTAAGCATTTATTTTTATATTTTTCGTTCTTTTTTACTTTATTTTTTTAATTTTTTTGTTATGTTTTTAAGTATATAGAAAATTATATTTTTGGAGTTTTACATAATTATTTTCATAAATAAAGTTTATAGTTTGATTGCTTTAATAATATAATTATTTATTTAAGGTAAAAAATGGTTTTTATAAAATATAAAATTATTATTTATTTAAGGAAAAAAAAAAAATATATATATATATATATATATAAAATAAAATTAATAAAAATAAATAAAATAAAATTAAATATATAAATATTCATACATCAATATTAATTTTAATATATAAATTATATATAATTATTTTTATTATATCTTTATTTTATTTATATTAATATATAATTGAATAACTTATATTATGGAAAAAACTTTTATTTAATCATGTTTTGAATAAAACATTGAAAAAATAAATTAAATTTTAATCGAAAATAATCACTAATTTTTATTAAATAATATAAAAGACTCAAAACAATATAATTGTTTGCATTATGCCTGTTTTTATGATAACATAGAATTATTTGATATATTGTTTTGCCATTTAGATTTCTAAATATAAAATAATATTATCCAAAAAATATAAGTTAAAGAATTATCTGAAGAATAAAATTACGACTAATATACTCCTTTTCATATTGCAGCATATAAAGGAAATTTAAAAATGATTCAAAAAATGCTTTCTTATAAAATAAATTACCTAGTATTGGCTAAAGGTGGATTAAATGTATTACATTTAGCAGCATAAGGAAATTAACCATAAATTATACATTATTTTGTAAAACTTGGAATGGATATTAATAAAAAAACTAATTCAGGGGGTACTCCTTTACATTATGCTTGCTTTTCAAGGTTTTTTTTTTATATCTTATAAAAAATTTCGAATTATTTTTAGATCAGAAGAAACAGTACTTTATTTAATTCCGAATGGAAGTAATATAAATCAATAAGATAATGATGGAAATACTCCTATACATTTTATTGCAAATTAAGGTTAGTGTCCTTATTTGGCAATTAAAATGATTAATAAAGGGGCTAATCCTTATATTAAAAATAATTAATAGATTGATGCAGTACAAATTGCTTTTTAGAAAAAAGATAAATAAATTTATAATATTTTATAGTTGAAAAATGGATTTTTGGAATATATTCATTTAAAAAAACCTATAAATCCTGTAAAAAAAACACATATTCCATTATTTATTTTTCTATTTATATATTTATCAATGACTTCTTTTAATATTTTGTTTACATTTCCATGTAATAAAAAAAAAAAAACTTTTATTAAAAAAAAATAGTTATAGATGATTTATTTTTAATAATATTATTTTTATTGTTTTTTATTTTGAGTTTTTTTTCATTTATTTTTAGTTGTCTTAAAAATCCGGGATATATATCACTAAATAACCAATAACATACATTAGAATATTAATTATAATGTTTATAAAAATATAAAGAAAATAAATAAATTTGCTATGATTGTATTATTATAAAGCCCTTAAGATCAAAACATTGTGATTTTTGTTAAAAATGTGTTATTGTATATGATCATCATTGCCCTTGGGTTAATAATTGTATTGGAGCAAAAAACTATTTTATTTTTTTCATATTTATAATTACACTTTTTATTTATTTTATGATTATTGCTATTTAATGTTGTCTATGTAATTTTTATTATATGTATTTATAACTAGTTTTTTTTCTTTATAAAAAAAAAAAAGATTTTGATAAAAATTAAGTTAATAGATTCGGATTAGAATTAAATTAAAAAATATATATTTTTTGCATAAAATTAATTGTATTTATTCAATTGTTTTAGGAATTTTTATTGATTTTTTACTTTTGTAATTTTATTTTATTTTAATGTTATTTTAATTTAATTAATTAAAAAAAATTATAATTAATATTTTTTTTTAATAAAAAAGAATTCTTATAAATGTCTAAATATAAAATATTTTGTAAGGAAAAACTACATATGAAAGGATGAATAATATCGAAATATCAAAAAATGGATAATAAATAATTAATATTGGGGAAAATAATGTTTAAAAAAATTTATTAACTTAACAATAAAGTTAAATATGTGTAGGAGGAGTTTAATTATGTATTTAGAATTAAAAAAATAATTTGTATTAAGACACTTCATTTAATTGATAATAAAAGCTAAACATTTTCTTTTAAATAAAACATATATAAAAAAATTAAACAAAATATATAAATAATATAAAATATTATATATTTTTAGTGTTATATATACAGAAATAATTTTTCATTATAAATTTTCATTTTATAATCTTTATTATCGTAATTTAATTAAATGTTTTCTCATAGACTAATAAGATACCCCAAATCTTTTTGCTATATTAGCTGCATCTTTAACTTCACTTTAATTTATTTCAATTATTTATACTTATGATAAGGATTTAATATTTATAAAATTACTGTTTATATTTTTTTGAGGTTTCTTGATTTTTTTGTTTATTTGATTTTAATTATTTTGAATGTTTTTTTATGAAAAATTAGATTTAGATTCTGCTTTTACATTAATATTAGAAATTTAATCATCAAATCCAAAGTTTAAATTTTAATCAATTTAAATTAATTACTAAACTTAATTAAAATCCAAAAAATTATCTATTTTTCTATTATCATTAAGGTAAGAAAAATTATTATTTTTGTCTAATTCTAAGGTAAGATTCAAATAGCAAGGTGACTCTTGCATTATAAAATTATCGTTTAAAAGATAATTTGAATAGCTGTGAAATTCTGAAAGATTATAATCTAATTATTATTATTATTATTCTTATAATGATTTTTTTTCTAACTAAGTATTTTTTTGAGTTTTTTCTTAAACATATTCTTGATTTTCTTCTTATTTTATATTTTTAGTCTAATTTGAAACTAGGTTTTCTGTTTTAAAAATTTATATTTAGTTATTTTAATCTTATTTTTCAATAATAATATTATTTTATTCTATTTTTAATTCATTTAAAGTTTGGATTTGTTTTTTTTTGATTCTGATTTTTTTTTTTTTTTCTAAATTCTCATTTTTATTTAAATAGCTTTACATTTAAATATATTAATCTTATATTCTTTTAAAATAAATAGAGTTTTTAAAAAACTATTCCTCCATTGATGACTAAATCTATATAAATTATTAATTGTAATTATTTAAAAAAACAAGTTATTAAAAAAATTATAATTATTAAAAATTGTTTGAGGCTATTTCTTTTTAATAAATAGTTATTATATTATACATTTCTTCTAAAATTTTAGTTATATTAGTTTAAATGTTTATATGTTCTTCTAAGTTTTTACTTAATTTATCCATTTTAATTATTTATTAATTTTCTTTAATAATTTTTTTTTATTTTTTTATTGCTAATATTTTTAGGTTTAATTAATTAAATATAAAATAAAGCTTCTTTTTTTGCCAATCTATACTAAAATATTTTATTTTATAAAAAAACAAAAATTCGGATAAACGATTTTTAAATTGAATAAAACTAAATTTTTCAGAATAAATATATCTAAATACTTTTTTATAGATATGTAAAACATTCCATATATTATAAATACATATAAAATATTTTAAATTAAAATTAATATAGAATTTATTAAAATATATGTTTATATAAAATAATTCTAAATATAAATTAAAATATTTTGCATTATTTTTCTATTTAAAATATAAATAATACTAATACAATTTATTAAAAAAATAATAGATAGTATAAAAATATTATTAAACTAAATAATTGATTTATATTTTATATATATTAAAATAATTATATTATTTTAAAGTTAATAAATATACAATAAAATTTCTGATTAATTTAAAATATTATTTTCGTAATATAATACTCATTTGGCTCTAAAAAAATTAAAAAAGAATAAATAATTTATATTATAAATTAATTTTTTTTAATGATATATTATATTCTTAAAAAAAAAAAAATTTAAAATATAATTTTATTTAAAATGGAAAAATAAAAACCATATAAATAATAACTATCATTTGAAGAAAGAAAATAGGAATGTGATTAAATAAAAAAACTTTATTCAGATAAAATACCTGTTATTATTGAAAAACATAACAAATCTAACCTTGAGTAAATAGATAGAACTAAGTAACTATTTTTTAACATTATTTATTTTTTTTGATAAATAATAAAGGTTTTTAATTTAAGATAAGTTAAAAGTTTTTTAACTTAATTCTATAGTAAGAAGAAAAATGAATTTAAATAAAGCAGACGCAATTTATTTATTTGTAAATGATAATACTTTATTAAGAGGAGGTATATTATTATTATTTTTATTTTTTTGTGGAAAATAAAACATAAAGATTAAAGTGTTGCCGAAGTCTATAACAAATATAAAGACTAAGATGGATTTATATATATTACGTATTGTGAATATGCTACTTTTGGTTTATAATGAAAATATTTTAATATTTATTTATAAGAAAATAATATATATAAATATTATAAAAATTAAATATATTGATATATAGTATATAATATATATATTTTCTTAATTTTTTTTTAATATTATATTTTCTTATTTTTTTTTATAAATAATAAAAATAAAATAAAATAATTTATATCACATATATTTTTAAATAAACAATAAAAATTGAAAAAAAATATTATTATTACTAATAATTGAGTTTTTTACAAAGTATAAGATTCTGAGTAATAAAAATTAAGGCAAAAATTTTTTAATTAATGCTAAAATTGTTTCATTAATATAATTTATTAACGTTTATATAAATTTTAAAAATTTATGAAAATTTTTAATAGCTTACAATACAAGTTACTTACTTAATATTAATATTACTCATTTAATTTCATAATAATATTTATATCTTAACCAATTATAATTTACATTGATAATAGTAGAAAATATGTACAAATTATCACAAATAATATAGATATTTTATTTTATTTTTTTATATTTTATTTATAACGACCTTATAAAAAATAGAATAAAATATATATTTAAGTTAAAAAATTATAAAAACTAATATAAATTATATATAATTCATTTATCTTTAAATACAAAAGAAATATTTTTTCAAAAAAATTATATTTAATAGTTTATTTTTATTCTAAATAATAAATTTTATAAAAAAAAAAATATTGTTATTAAAGAAATAAAAAAATAAAACATATTTTTGATGTAATTATATTTTTACATAAATTATTTAAAGTTTTATTTTTAATTTTTTTTTTTAAATTTAAAAGAAAGCAAAAAATAAAAAATGCATCCTAAGTAAACATTTTCATAATAACCTATTCAAATGCATACTGTTGGGCAACATCAAATTCCTGTCTAAGCTTCTGTTCCTACTTAAGCTCCTGTAATAATAGGTAATACACCCGTATAAATCTTTTAGAGCTAACCTACTACATTATTACAATAAGATAATTCAAATTATGATAAAGAATTAGAAAAAAATAATTAAATTAGATTGGTTGCATAAAGTGTTTCTTAATATGAAGATAAAATAGCACTTCTATTGGAATAAAATCAAAAATAAGACAAAGTTATTCATTATAAATAAGGAGAATCTATTTAACTTTAAGAATCTTATAATGGATTAAGAGATAATTATTGTAAAAAAATTAAATTTATATATAATTATATATATAATTATATAAAAATATATAAATTTATTTATTTATTTATTTATTTATTTATTTATTTTTTATATTATAGTACATAATTTGAATGTTATTAATTAAATGGAAGAAGATTTGGATTAAATTAGCAAAAAACAATTTTAAACAGTATAAGAAGTTGATATGAATGAATAAACAATTAGAAACTTACATAATGAAATTTATGCCAAAAACGAAGATATTAATTATTGGAAAGAAAAAGCTAATCAGTCTTAGGTTTTTTTATAAAATATATAGGATGTTTAATAATAAATAGAAATTTTATCTTAAGAAAATTATAAGTTAAATAAATTGTTAAATTCTAAAAATTAGATTTGATATTTTTATAAAAAAAATATAAAAATTTAATTTTTAAAAAAAATGATTTAATTTTATTTTTTATTTATATGAATATTATGACTTTTTATTTAATTTAAATATATTATTTATATTTAATTCTCATTTGCTCGCGATGTTATTTATTTATTTCTCTTTAATTTTTCTATTTTTAATGTTATAATTTAATAATTTTTCTATATAAATATGTTTTACTAATTTATTTATTTTATTTCTTCTTTTTTATTTTTTTATTTTTAAATATTTTTTTAAACTTAGAAAATGCTTTAAGTATTTTATTCATTTTATTATTAAATTTAAAACGATTTATATTATTTTTTATCACAAGTTCCTAATATATCAATTCTAATTTTTTTATTGTAATTTTAGTTTTGTATGTCTTTATTTAAGGTTTTGGAATTTGCTAATAAAGACTATAATCTATTCGCTTTTATTATTTTATATTAATTTTCAAATTTATCTTAAATTAATAAGTTTATATTCATCTAGCCTTTATTTTGGTTACTATTATCAATATTAACGCCATTATATTCATTCTATATAAATTTAATAGGTTTCTCATCTGAATTTTTCACTTACTTATTTAAATTTTAAAAAAAGTCTATGAGTTCTTCTGTATACTTGTTTGGAATTTAAACTTATTAACAATTTTTAATATTTAAGTCTTAATCAGTTGTGAGACATACAAAATCTTATTTCATTATTAAAGTTTTTTATTTTTTTTTATTAAATTTTTTTATAATTCGAAAAAATTTCATAATTAAAAAAAAAAATTAATATTTTAGACACAAATTTTTTAAGTAAATTTTATCCAATTAAATATTAATAAAATAAAAGTGTAATCATATTAAATTTATAAAGATTATTTTATTTAAAGTCTATTACATTAAATATATTTTATTTTTTATTATTGATTTTTTAAATCTTTTTTCTTTGTATTTTTCATATATAAAAAAAAATATTATTTATATAATTTAAAATTCAAAATTTCTTATTTTTTTTATTTTTAATTTAGCAAACTTTAATAAAAATAAAATAAAATATAATTTTTAATTGTATCAATCTTCTATTTAAATTCTAAGATCTTTTCTTCTATTAAAACTTTTCGGTACTTTCTATATATTTAAGGTCTTAATATTATCACTAGTAATATTTTTAGAATCTCTTCTTTAAGAAGAATCTCTTCTTTAAGAAGAATTTATAGTCAATCCATCTAATTTATTATTAAATTCTATTTTTTTACTTTTTTGATTATTTTAGTTTTCTTATCTTTACTGCGATTAAGAAATTAAATCAGAGCTTTTTTAAGGATCTTCAACACTTTTTTCATTAATATCTACAAATTCTTAAATAGCATAGTTGTTATTAACTCTATATTTTATTATTATAAATATTATAAAAAATATAAATATAGTAAGTATAACACCAGTAATTATTATATATTCATATATTTATAGAAATTTTATTTTTAGTGGTTCTTTTTCTATATTAATTTTTTACTCTACAATTTTATAATTTGAATCTATAAAAAACTCAATATATTTTTCTTCTTTTTATTATTCTTCTTATTATTTTATAATTGTTAAGTATATTTAATCATTAAATTAATGTATTTCAGATTTATTTAAAGATAATAAGTTTTAATTTTCAAATTGGTATTTTAAGCTACTATTTTCATTTTCTTCAAATTATAAAATTACTATATATTACAAAGGCTAATCAAAAACAAATTTAAATTCAATCAAATAATTTTCTTAATTATTTTTTATAAAATTTAAAAATTTTATAGTTATGTTTTTATTCAAATTATCTAATATTCCCCAAAAACGTTAAGTTATTTAGCAACTATAGTATTTTTTTAAAATATTTTATGTCTATATTCCTATTTTATTATCTAATTTTTTATCATATTCCGAAATTGGATCTATTTCTAAAAATAGATTTCCTTAAGAAATTATTTCCTAAGTAATATTAAAATGAAGTTAATAAATACTATTATTTACTAATTAATATTATTACAAATTAATTATTTTATTTTCTTATAAATTTTAATATAATTAGAATTTGATAGATTAGATATAGTTTTCCTATAAAATATTAGAATTTGATAAAATAAAAAGTTAAATGAATATTTTTTAATTCAAATATATTTTTTAATTATCTAAAATTATTTAAATTCTTTACTTTTTTATGCTTATTAGTATTTAGTCTTCTTACTAAATTTAAACATTATTTTCTTATAAATCTACAATATCAAAATTTATGTCTTATGTAATTTAACTTTACATATATAAAAAAATTTTCTTCTAATTTTTTTAATATTGAATTTAGCAAACTTAAAAAATATTCAATCTACATTACTAAACATTTATATCAATTAAATTGTCTTATACTATTTTTTAAATATTTTCTTATTCTTCGCTTATATATAATAAAGGAGCTTTTTAAAAATTATTTATTTTATTGAATTTAATGGCTTTAAGAATTTCGAAATTTTGATTTGGAATATAAACAAAAACATTTTAATATTAATCTTGATTTAAATTTTATATATTGTATTTTTAATCTAGTTGTTTGAATTCTAAAAAATTTAGGTGTTTTATTGTTATTAAAAATATAAATAAAGAATATATTCTTATTTTCATTTTATAAATTTTAAATAATTTTTTTTTAAAATAACTAATTTAATTAAAATTATAAAATGAATATTTTAATTATTGATAATTTATAATTTTATTATAGATTAAATTTAAAATAATATAAAATAAAATATTTTTAGCTATTAAATATAATTTTAAAAAATAAATAAATATTTTATAAAAAATATATTATTATATATTTTTAATTCAATTATTTTATAAAATTAAAGCTACACCTGCAATAATCTTTTCTTTAATATCCCCATTGCTAGGTAAATTAATTTTAGTTATTAATTTTTCTCTGCTTGCACTCGCAAAAACTGGGAATTCCTAAAAAAAAAAAAAAATTATAATCATTAAATGAAAAAATAATTTAAAATACTCCTAAAGTATCCAAACTATAAAATTCATCTTAATTTTTAGGTATAAAAGCAATATTTAATATTGGTAAATCAACGAATTCCGGCAACTCATTTCCTGAATCTATCAAAAATCCATCTTAAATACTGCATCCTTATAATAAAACTCCTTTTATTTTGACTATAATATCTGCTTAGATAATATTTTCTTATAAAGAAGCTACTATTTTTAATTCATTCAAAGGAACTTAAATATTTCTTGCTGTTTTTTACCTTACTGCATTAAGGAAAATTTCAGGGTGGAACAAGTCTGAAAGATTCAAGGGTTTTTCGAGTAGTTACTAATTTTTTAAAGACTCTATCCATTTTTTCAATTAATATACTCTAGAACAAAAGCCTTTTAACCAAGAAGTACAATTGTCTGGCCCTTCCCATACTTAGGACCATTTCTAAGGTACATTGCCTAACATTAATTCATATCCAATAGCTTATATCTCTGAAGTCAAAATTCCGTTTCCAAAAAGAACCTTATTTAACCCTTCAATGCTATTTTAAATTTTTTCTATCATTTAATATGATTACTAGGCTTCTAAATAAACAAAGGATTCCACAGGGTCTGTCGAGAGGAGATTCTAAGGTTTAATTTAGGGTAGATCAGTGAAGGATTTATAAAGATTTTTCCATAAATTTATTATAGTAGAAAGTTATTGTTACCATTTTTCTTTATCGAACTTTAAATCTTCACTACTGGCCTATTTTATAACTTTAAGACTATTAAATATTTACTAAGTATTATATCTCTGTACTGCCTTGTCAATATTTAAAGGAAGTCCAAAAAGCATTGGAGAATCAGTTTCTTTTAAATTTTTGATTATTTTTTAAAATTCATTTATATTATTTGACTATGGAATAACATCTCCATTAGATAATTTTTTAGTACCTTAAAGCATTGGAGCATTAAAATATTAATGAATATAAGCTTTTAGTACTCTTAAGTCGAAAATTTCGTCTATTCTACCGCCATATATAGCGTTTTCAAAAAGACCATAGAGTGTTTCCCAGTTTAAATTTTTTCCTTAAGAATCATGGATGAGACTTTCGATAATTTAAGTACCTGCTCGTAAGTCGCCATAAGAAAATTCGTAAAATTTAGACCATCCTTGTGGTATATAAGTCCTTCTTTCTTACAGGATGGCATGAAACCAGGCCAAAATGAATAATAATTGTGCTCTTTAAGGAGATCCTTTACTTATATATTGCTAAGACCATGTAGAATAAATTCTTTCGATGTTTTTTTTTAAACCAGGAGGTGATTCATAAGAAATTTTAAAGCATGATTCTAATAAAATTGCAGGGAATTTTTAATGTGCTTCTGTTGTTAACCAAAGTCTAAAGTTTTTATGCGGTTCGAGCATTTTTAGCTCTTTTTCAAGGATAGGGAGCCAAGAAGTTACTAAATGTAAATTTTTAAAGCATAACCAATGTCCATTTAGAGCAGCCTTTTTTATTTAATTTATTTAAAAAATATATTTATATAAAAATTACTTCTTTTAATTTCTAAATAGCTAAATCATTTTAATTTCCTCCCATAGATAGACTATGAAAATTTTAACGGCCTATAGATTATTCGGCATATTCTTCTAGTTCTGTTGAAGGATCTGAACCAGGGGATACTACAAATAATGCAGGTGCTTTAATATCTACTTCTTCTGAGTTGATAATTCCAAAAGAGAAGGGGTTACCACTAACAGAGGATATTTACAATTATTAACATACAAAATCGTTTAGAACAGTTTATAACCTTTCCGATCTAAAAACCTATACTATAAGTACTTTTTAAAAAGCAGTTAATTTAGCTGAAGAAGGAAAATGTTTCTCACATTCAATTTATGAATTCCAATTTTCCCAATCCTTGTCATTAAAATTAATACTGGAGTTTAATTTCTGAAAAGAATTTACAAAAGAAGCATATAAATCTTTAGAATATTAAGAAGCCCATTTAGGTGTATTTATTTATTTACTTTCAATTACTATGGGAGCATTACCAAGTAAAAAATCCCATTCATTATTTTAAAACTGCTCTTAGTACATTTCGTGTACTAAGTGTAAAGCAAACATAAGACGGTCTTATTTAAAAATACACGCAGCTAAGTTATTAAATATAATTTTATTTAAATAGGAAGCACAGTATTATAGTTTTTATAGCATAGACGGGAATTAATTTTTTACTTTTAGACACATTTTGAATAATTATATGAAATAATTTAAAGAGTATCTGTACATGTTGTTGATTTTTTTCAAGTCATTTATGCATATGAATAATTAAGCTCCTTTTATAGCCAAAAAACGATATACATCTCTTTATTAGTCGAGATTTTCTTGAAGTTTTTGACTTTCTTGCAAACTTTAAGATATTGTTTGACTTTTACTTTTCGTTTAATTTAAGCTTTCTAATAAAACAGTATTTTCAAGTATATTTCCGGTACTATTTGCTAATTCTTCAAGCAGTTTTCTTTCGAGTTCTGCTAAAGAAATCTTAAGTGATTCTTCGTTTTCCAATAGTTCTTGTTTTTTCTTTTCTAAATCTGGCTATTCGTGGTTTATTATTATACTAAGGAGTTTTCCTTCTAAACCACTTCGTGTAATTGTATAATTAATAATACTTACAAGGGAAGAAGTGTTTGGACTAATTTCTATTCCGCTATTTCTTGTACATAAATATAATTTGAAATTCTCGTTATAATTAACCTATTTATCACCTATATTAACTACCCAACGTGGACCTGCATGGGCTAAATCTTTTCTTAGAATAGGTACTAAAATAGGCTCTAATTTATCTAATTCTTATATTAATAATGTTTTTCCGAATAATACCTTTAATTTATAAATAAATAATATTTATTTTTTTAATAAAAAACTTACTGCTAATTCTAGTTAATTAGTAAATTTAGGATCTTATTAATTCAAAATTTCGACATTTTCAATTGCTTTTTTTAGCCATTCGGTCGCTTATGTGTTTGGATCGATTAAAAGACAAGGTTTACTCGAATTAAAAATCATTGCGCTATTTTCTAAACTTAAAGAATCTCCAGGAAGTCCCTGGCTTTTCCATTTTAAAATTTGACTTTCTGTTGTTAAAAATTTTAAGAAATTAAAATTCTATGCTCGAGTCATTTATTTCCATTCATGAAGGGCTTATTCTCGTTAATTTTCGTCTTTTTCACTTAAATAAATGGTAAAGCCAGCACATAATAAACTTTAGATAGGGAAACTTTTTACTTCTTTTTCGATTTATTCAGATTGCTCTTCCCAACGAATTTTTTCATCTTTTAATTTATCTATTAATGATTAGGCTATTTATAAAATCTCTTCTTCTTTTTTTAAATCGGTTTTAAGGATTTCAGTTTATTGCGTTTTTTAGGCGAAGTTTTATTTTAGTTATTCAACTTTTTGTTCTAATTTTACTAAGTCATTTTCATTATTTTATAATTTTTATCTACTATCGTTTAGTCTTTAGTCTATTTTTTAAAGCTTTTATTGTAAAGGTAATACTTTTTCAACAACTTCACTATATTTAAGAACTGCTAACACCCAATCAGCCATAGGACCTTTATTTGTTATTATATATATATATATATATATATACATATATATATATATATATATATATATATATATATATATATATATATATATTTATACATGTAAATATAAAAAAATAAAATACCTACTGCTTTAGATGCATTATAAGAATTTTCTTTTCTAAAAGAAGATTCGTTTTCATTAATAGCTGCTTAAACATCTTTTCTTATTTTGGGAGTAATAATTGACGGATCGAAATTAATTATATTTTCCAAAACTGTTCTATTACCTAAAAATTTTTTTATTTCAGCCCACGAGTCATTGCTATTATCGAAAACTCTCAAAACAGCCTTCATGATATTATGAATAACCGGAGGAGGCATTTTTAAATTTCTTAAAAAATCTAAATCACCTTTATTTATTCCTTATACAGATTTTTAAGCTGCTTCTATTAAAGGCTTTTATTTATTTTTTAAATTTTCTAAAATAAAAAAATTATATAATTTTTTTTACTTAGACATCTTTTAATTATTCATTAACTTCATTTCTCGAGTCTTATATTTTAAGCTCTTCAGATTATAAATATTATCTAATATTTTCACAATCTTGCTTCCTTTCAGCTGTATCTTACATTGCTTTAGAGATTAAAACAAGAGCTTAATCAGCTTCTGCCTATTTTTTTCCCAATTCGACCTTCTTAACTTGAGCTTTTTTACTTAATTCATCCACGAGTTCTTTAGCTTCTTATAATTTTTAAAGACCTTGTTTTAAATGAGTACTCTATATATTAAAATATATAATTATAAAAAAAAATATTTACTTTAGATCCTCTGGAATTAATTTTCATATTAAAAATTTTCACATATGTCTATAACAGAGCAAAAAGATGTAATGGAGAAGCTTAAGATTTTTCCAATCCATATTTATGTAATGAAACAAAAAAGTTAATCATCTCTTCTTTTTCTTTTTATTACTACATTTATTCCAGCTCTTCTTTTAATTCTTCCTTCACAATCACATTCATAGACTCTTTACTCCATCCAGTAAGCCAAATAACATTACATTTGCTAAAAAAAGCAGGATTTTATGCACAATTTTATATAAACTATTCCCTAGAATGGTCCATACTCAGTACTATCCTTAAGTTTTGTTTCACTTTCAGAGTAAATATCTCATAAAGGGATTTCCCATAGAATTCCCTTCTGATTTCATCAGCATTTTAGAAAGAATGCTCAACTTCATCTTATGTAAAAAGCCCTGGAATTTCTCCACTAGAAATAAGGCTATTTAAAATTTCTAAAAATTCGCTTTTTACCAAATGATGATCTTCGATAAAAAGAATAATATTTTTATTCTAAATACCAGCTTTTTCTAAAAATACTTTTAATTCTTTTTGAAATTCTCGTGTAGAATAGTCCCTACTAGTACTTGGACTTACTATTTCCATTCTTAACATAGTCCCAATTAATGAAATACAACTTCTTCTTCCAATACCACTCCTTCCAGACAACAAAATACTACCAGAAGTACTCAAAGCTCTATCCAAACTTGAAAGGAGAGACAAAACTTCATCTAATAAATGAAGTTTGAGTTCTTTGAACTCCCTCTCATGCATCATTAAGCCTTAATTTATGGAAGTTATGTAATCTTTTTTTTCTAAACGAGTCAATATTTTCGAAGAACCCCCGCATGAACTAAAGTAAATGTTTGGAACTGGTTAAAAGCTTAAATTTTATCTTAATAAAGAAGTAACAAATGCATCATACTTACTTTATTATTCATTATTAACCAATTTATCCCTAAACTTTTTATTTAGTTCATTAAAAAGAGCCTCTCCTATATTATCCTTATTCAACTCATACCTCAATAGCCCGAAAACTATCTAAGTAAGATTTCTGGGTGTAAAAGTATAATGTCTATGTTCATCCGCATTAAATTTAGAAGGAATTCCTATATAAAAATCAA